TAGATATATAGATAGATAAATAGATAGATAGAAGATAGATAGATAGATAGATAGATAGATAGATAGATAGATAGATAGATAGATAGATATAGATAGATAGATAGATAGATAGATAGATAGATAGATAGATAGATAGACAGATAGATAGATAGATAGATAGATAGATAGATAGATAGATGGGATGGTCATAGGCTGTGCTAAGATAAGTTAGGATAGAATAAGTTGGATAGGATATGAATAGATATTGATAAAACACAATTTTTCTTTGAGAAAAATAAAATATTCGAAAAAAAGTTTTTATTAAAATCTTCATTTCTCTTTCCGTAGACATAAAACCAACTTAAATGCCTTCTTTTCTCCACCCCTTTAACCCTTAATAAATAAGAGAAATTCTCTATAGAAAACTTGAATAAGAGAACGGGGATTCATAATTAATTGTTAAACACGCGAAAGACCCAATAAACGTGACATAGCTGTAGTTTCATACTAAGGGATATTTTAATAGCTGCATATGTTACAGAGTGCCCAAATAAACAGAAATAAAATACGACTAGAAAATCGTCCTTGATTTCCAAAGAATGATCAAACGAAAATAATATGTTTTTTTGAGCTTCTAAAATTGTGGTATGCTCTCTTTTAATTCCTAAAATTGTCAAAAAATGTATCTAAACACTTTAAGTACAGGGTGTCCCATCGAAACATGACAGTCAGTGAATAGTTTAAAATGTTTTCTTCCATAATTTGTTTATTTCATACCAAAGATGCAGATAAGAAATACTAAATGGCAGAACAAAATAAACTGCAGAAAGTCTTAAATAACTAATATACAGCATTATGGAAATTAAAAACTATTCACCAACTGTCATGTTTCGTGGGACACTCTGTATTTAATCTATCTATTAAAATGTATATCTCCGTCAATTTTAAAGGTATGAAAATGGCCAACCATATTTTGGAAAACCCAAGGTTAATAGTATTCGTGCTGAATAATTTAACTGATTTATGTTGAGTTCACGAAAAAAGAGCAATGTGAAGACGATATAATATAAGCCGTCACTTAATTCCCATGTTTATTATTGACAATCTGTATTTGGTTTGGCTTCTCATTTAAGTTAATTTCCGATTACCAGAACTATGTTAGGAATGATATTTTTCATGTTTAAAATATTTCTTTGCTGCAAATATAAATATGAAGGAAGTGTAGAAAACACATTAAAATGAATAGAAAGCCATGGTTCGTTAGAAGAGCTTTCTCTACCTTCGATCAAATAATTGTAAACATACCTTTACACTACATTCAAGAAACCTCTTGGTACAGATTATTCATTTGTTATTGATAACCCAGCCAGCTGGGTTAAGATACTGCACGTAATTTCAAGTCACCTTTCATGCTAAGATGGCAATGCCAGATTTACAACGGTAGCCTTGAATCCTTTATTTGATTAATTATGTAGAACATAGTGTCGTTTTTCTAGGTTTAAATGTGCTTAATTTTGTTAATTCTTATCAATTTTCCTGCAGTTTAAATGCGTTAGTCACTTTTGTAGAGAAGCCACAGTTGAAAACAATCAGTTTTCAAAATTATGAACATTAATATTTAATTAATACTTGATCGGATATTTAGAGTTTTAGGGTACTTTTGAGAATCGGGCATTGTCATCTGTGTTTGGAAGATACAAAAAAAATTTATTATCTCATAATATTTCAGAAATAAAGATGGCGTTAAATATGAAAGCAGAAAGAAAACTAAAAATACCGACGAGCCTTAAAGATCATCATTTATTTTTCATATCTTCAGGTGAGTCAAAAGAAAATTGCAAAGTTATAAAATTCATATTTTAATTCAAGGGTCTGAGATGTTTCTATGCTCTGGAAAGCAGATAAGAAGGATTACAAAGAGAACATGTTGCTCGTATTCGGCAAAATTTGATAAAATTGCAAAAGATAGTTTTGCATTTTTTCCTTCCAGGTACTTTCTCCATCTTACTTTTAATCTTTCAAGAAACTGTAGTAAGTAATTTCATAAAGAAACCATATGCTTAATCATGCCCAATTCACAAAGATACCCTTCAAACCTTTATCTGAGAAAAAAGAAAAATTCTGTAATTATCCTTTTGTGTCTCTGCTTCATAATTTCTGAAGTCACTTTAATAAAGTAACCAAGAGAGGGGCGTATTCAGGAATTTTTTTCTGTCTAGAGGGGGCCATCACCCTTTAGGCCCCAAAAAAACCTTGGAAATTATAATGTTCACTGATCCATGGGGGGACTGAGCCCCAAAGCCCCCCCTGAATATGCCTCTGAACCACGATTAAAATTTATCAATTTTCAGATAGAAAAAAAATAATATATTCATATGTTTTCTTCAGAAAAAAGTTTAAAGGGTAGAGTTGTGATTTAAAGGGTCCCTTTAAATAACGTCGACATACCCTATCAAAGCAAAATTATATTTTTATCTGAAAAGAAATTGAGTCTTTGCCACAAACTCATAATCTTTAGTCCTTATTACTTTGCAACCCATTCTATTTGATCAAATTATCTTATTTTGAAATATCGAAGGTTAACGCCATCAGAGATTTGAAAAGGAAATGAGTCTTTGTCACAAATTCAGTTTTTGTAAAATTTATATCTTTACAACCTTATGATGTACACCTTTAATATTTCAAACTTACATTATTTGATCTAATAGCATTCATAGTTTGAAATACTAAAGGTCTACGACATTGGGTTGCAACGATATTGAAATTAGAATATCAGAGTTTGTGGCAAAAACTCAATTCCTTTGAAAGTTTGTGACAAAGACTCGATTTCTCGGTCCATCTTTTCATTTAAGAATATAAAAGATTAATATTTCTATTATAAACAATGGTTCGTATCCTCCTCCAAGCAATAATAAGATTAAAGTAAAGTAACTCTAGGTTGATAGAGTTTGAATAATTTGAAACCCTGTTTATCCACGATTTATTATATTTTTGTTTAAGATTTGATTCTACAGTTCTGATCTGCATCCTTCGATCAGGACATATTTGTATTAAGAAGGGACAAGAGAAACTCAAGATTATTCAGGAAAAATGGACATTTTGACAAAAAAACTTGAATTAATCACAATATTTTCAACAATCCAAGTGTGTCTGATTTGTATTTAGGACTAATATACGTACGGATTATTGAGGACTAGAGTTTTTACGATCATATTTTATATTTCATTCAACATATGAATTTTGTTAGATCGATTAGTCTTAGTTTAAAATAAGTTTTTTGTAATGATTTAGGGACTAGAAAATTAAAATTTAAGACAAGAACTAAATTCCTTTGCGAAATTTTTGTCGTAAAAAGTAAAAATCTTATATTAAAACCAATGAAAACAATTTATTTTGTCTTTGAAAAGGATCTTTTATAAATTCCAAATGTTGATATAATGTTTATAAAAAAATATCTATTTATCATGTTTAGGGTTTACCAGAGCTAAGTTTAGGGTTTGGAGAAGGTTCTCCCAGTGTTTACATTTCTCAAGATCTCAAACATATCCTAGCGATTAGGTAAATAGAGCCGGGAACTTTTATATTGGATTCTCATAATCCCGATCTCTTGATATCGATATTCACAGTGCGCACTTTTAAAGGAATATGTAAATCACATAATTCTTAATTTGCTGGAAAGAATCGAAATAAAACAACAAAATTCTAAAAAGAAATCAAGAAAAAAATCATTCAGAGACGAGTTTTGTTTTGTCTGGAGTGCTTCTCAAGGCTTAGAATTGGAAATGATAAATTCTGGTAGAGCAAGGTTTCAGAAAACTCTGGGTTCATGGATTCAGGTATTAAGAAAAGAAAAGTTTCTAACCCTCATGAAGGTGAATATTAAAGGTCTATGACATTGGGTTGCAACGATAAAGAGAATTAATTAGAAAATCAGTGTTTGTGGCAAAACCAAAATGAATTTTAAGTTCTACAAACTTGTGTTTAACTGTTTATGATAACAATTTACAAACAAAAACTTTTGAATGTTAGATACATTGCTTTAATTTGTACTTAATTTGAAAAGATATGATGGTCAAAAATTTCAGTTTGTGGCCAGAATTTTGTTCCTGTAATTCGTGCAAAATAATTTTTACCGAAGTCTCAAAATATTTGTTGCTTAAAGTATTCAATATAAAGCGTCTTTTTATGGCTAAAACTTGAAAGGTGGTCTATAAACTTTAATCTCAATTAATTTCAGAATTACTTTTTTTCTTCGTACATTCTGATTTAACAAAAAAAAACATAAACATGTCCTAATTATATCTAGGTGAATGGTTTCAGTATTGACGGAGTTTCAGAACGGATTGACTCCGTTTACTCCTCGTCCCATTACACCTGGTCCTTAGCGTATACCGGAGAAGAGGGCGGAGAACTAAACCTGTGCAGGATAAACCTTCACGGAGCAAACCTATCTCATCATAGGATTCAGAGATCAGTCTTCTTTAAAAATTACCAAGAAGAGAAGAACGTGATCTGTAAATTATCTCCAAATGGATCTGCAGGTAACTTAATAGTTTCATCAAAATTATTTTTAAAATAAGATTAAAATGCCCGATTTACAAGTTACAACGGTACTCTTAAAAAACTTTGTTTAATCAAGTATGAATTAGATATCCATTTTTTTTCTTTAAACTGTTTTTTTATTTACGGTTTCTCTGCGAAAGTGACTTGCGCATTTCTTGCTTATAAGAAGTTTATTAGAGAAATTATCTGAACCACAACAATTTTCTAATCAGAACTCAGAAAAAACGACGGTATCCTCCACATTTTTGATCAGATCACTTCAAATTACGCTTTAATGTAAAGACTGAACACTCCCTTTAATGTAAAGACTGAACAATCCCTTTAATGTAAAGACTGAACACTCCCTTCCTTTAATGTAAAGACTGAACACTCCCTTTAATGTAAAGACTAAACACTCCCTTTAATGTTAAGACTGAACACTCCCTTTAATGTAAAGACTGAACACTCCCTTTAATGTAAAGACTGAACACTCCCTTTAATGTAAAGACTGAAAATCAAATAAAGGAATTACGCGCCACAAAATCTATTATTCTAATATTTATATCTTTTCAGCCTGATATCGCAAACTTGATTTTTTAAACTACAAATTTTGTTAACCCAAATTGTCAAAGTTTTCAATATATCAGATTGCAAATATATAGGAACTAGAAAATTATAGTTTGTGAGTAATTAGTTCTTCATAAAGGAAAAATCATTAACATGATGCAATTTTTCTATTTTAAAGTATTTATGTTACCTGAGATAGGGACAAGTAGAACATTTCAGCAATAATTAGTACCTTCCATCTTAGCCAAATATCTGAACAATCCCTTTACAAAATATAAATTTAAAGGGACTGTAGACAAAATGGTGCCCTTGAATGCTTTGTCTTTTTAAAAATGAAAATAAATTATTTTCGATTGTGGTTTATCTAAAAAGTGAGTTGCAGATTTCCGCTACAGAAAAATCGAAGGAAATTGTCAAAATGAAACACTTTTTAATCTCGAAACGTTATTTAACATGTTATTGATTAGAGAAAGGTTTAAAGAGGGGCGTTGTGATGCCCATCTTTAAATGGAGGGTCGCTTTGAGTTACAAGTACAATCGCTTTAAATTACAAGTATACAATCGCTTTGAATTACAAGTACAATCGCTTTAAATTACAAGTATACAATCGCTTTGAATTACAAGTACAATCGTTTTGAATTACAAGTACAATCGCTTTGAATTACAAGTACAATCGCTTTGAATTACAAGTACAATCGCTTTAAATTACAAGTACAATCGCTTTAAATTACAAGAACAATCGCTTTGAATTACAAGTACAATCGCTTTGAATTACAAGTACAATCGCTTTAAATTACAAGTACAATCGCTTTGAATTACAAGTATACAATCGCTTTAAATTACAAGTACAATCGCTTTGAATTACAAGTACAATCGCCTTAAATTACAAGTACAATAGCTCTAAATTACAAGTACAATCGATTTAAATAACAATTACAATTGCTTTGAATTACAAGTACAATCGCTTTGAATTAAAATAAATATTTATATTTTCACCTCTAGTATTCTGGAGCCTGGGAGCAGAGTGTGCTACCCTCTCTATAACTGGAGAGATGATTGGGTAAAAATCTTTTCTTTTTTACAATTTTAAAAAACAGCTTATATACAGGATTACCCAATACACACATACAGGGTGTCCCACGAAACATGACAGTATGCAAGAGGACTTGAATGTCGTCTTGATTTTTGATATAATTTGCTGTGTTTATTTGTCAACCTAATTTTAGAAGTAAATTTCTAGAGATAATGATCACAAAATTCCCCTAGTCCTGCCATTTCCAAAATGTGGTCTGCCTTTTTTGTGCTTTCAATATTGCCCGACATATAAAGAATTTCGTTCAGATTTCGACAATTTTGCTTTTATTTAACTAAATTGAAATCTGAACCAAACTCTTCATATCTCCGGTAATATTGAAAGCACAAAAAACGCAGACCACTTTTTGGAAATGCCAGGGCTAGGAGAATTATGTGATAATTGTTTCAAGAATCATACATGTTAAAGTAGATAGATGACTAAATGTCACAAATAAATTCATATATCAAAGACGACTTTCAAGTCGTCTTGCTATTGTCATGTTTCGTGGGACACCCTGTAGTATCCGACTTTACTGAAGAGCCCTCAACTCTATTAATATTCATTTTCTGTCTTCCAGGGTTTATTAAGAATTTTTCTTAACGAAAGCAGGGAACTATACATGAAATAATTAAGATTGAATAGATTTTTCACAGTTTCGTCCAAGGTTATAATGCAAGGAAAGTTATTTCAGAGGTGTATGCATTTCTTGCACTGCAGTATACTGTCTCTGGGTGGTAATGTAAACATAAGACGGATGTCGAAGCCTGACATGGGATCCATGATCTTTCACATAAAAAATCAATGAAATATTCTGGTCATAGGAAGCTATTTTATTGAATTATCAAAATGATCAAAATTTAATTCTTTTAACCTTCTCGGATATTAAACAAACACTGATGCATCTCTTCTTGGTTACAAATTCCGGCCAGAGAGAACTGGTTTCCCTATGTACGCAGAAGAGTATTCAGTATACACAACTACAATTAACTTTCCTTGCATTAGAACCTTGGTTGTGTCCATGAAGTGTCATCCAGGGGCGGATACAGGATACAGGATTTAAGTGAGGGGGGTGCTAGATTTATTTCGGAACCAAAAATTCAATATTTAGGAAGCAAAAGAGGCGATGCAGGCAAAACAATTTTGTAAGATAGACATTTTTTTCTGTTTTGCAAGGTTTTCTTTCCCTTACGTGCTATTGAGAAGATATTCTGAAATCTCAGGGGGGGTGAAAAGGTCTTGCCCCCCCCCTGAACCCCCCCCCTCTTGTCTCATCCATTGTGGATAACCCTGTACACGTTACCCACAACCTACAGTTTAACCTAGAACTTTGGAGATATCGAAAGAATTAATAAAATGTTGTCTTGACAATTTTTCAATGGGTTTTATACTATTTTACCTAAATCTCAGTTTGAAAAAATAGATAAATAGACATGAAAGACCTCCATATCCTTATTTAATTAAAAACTAAATACTGCAGCAATCCATCGTCAGTAGTTTAGAAAACGAAATTTTATCAATTCTTTAAATGTCTCAGAAGTTCAGGGTTAAACTCTACTAAAAATGAGACGATAGAACTAAATAGAAATAGAACTTATTTAAAGAACTAACAAGATTCTTTTCACATCTTTTACTTTAAAACACTATTTTAAAGCAGTCATTTAAGTTTCATTCAATGTAATGTGTTAGGTAACCCTGTATTTCTCCGTGTGATTTTCCCTGCAAGAAAATTTTTTTTCTTTAGAACTGTAATGCTACCATGTTCCTTGCGATCTGCCTGGTGGATATCTGAACTATGTTTAATTCTTCAGTTTGATTCATACATCTCAGTTTATACCATTACCCTCAACATTCTTCCATTCTCTACACAAGCTAAACTTGAAAAGGTTTTAAAAATGCCTGAAACAAAATTATACATTTGCCAAAACCGATTTTATCACATGAGGAAGGGTAAAGCTGTCGAATATTCAATTCAAATGATTTCTGAGACAATACTTACAGAACTAGGATTTGTTCAGACACAATTCTTCGCTGAATTGGCAAAAAAATCCTTTAAATCTAAACAGATCATTTCTGAGCTATTGGCAGAGGAACCACAGATTAAAATCAATGAATCAAAACATTTGTGGATTCTGAGTAGAATATTTAGAAACGGAAATCAAAATAAAGTTTTAGAATCGGAACAAAATCGCATTGATTTGATAAAACTTGCTAAACCTTACTTTTTATCATTCTTACTTGACAAGAATACAAGAATAGCCCAGATTCGACCGGAGGGATTGAAACAGATCAGAGATATTGTCAGTTTCCTACTCTATTCATCTGTTTCCACATCTTTCAGAAGGAAGGTAATCAAAAAGATTAAAACTTTGATGAAAACCATCATGAAATCTGGAAATCAAAGTGATTTTGAAAGTTTAAAGATTCTGCTCTTAGATATTTGCTCTTTGGACGCTTTCAACCAACTGGGAAACCTAGTCCTGTTTCTAAGTTTGATATGGATAAATGGAGCTAAAAAAAGTTCTAGCTTTAGCTACCATCCAGTATTAGATCAACTCAGCTCAAAGTATGGCAAACGTTCAGTTATCTGTCTTCAGAAAGCAATTCAGTTCTCAAATGCTAAAAATCAGAAAAAAGAGACAAAATATAAAAGCTTGACATTTCCTGGACTTGTTGAGTATTACAAGGGAAGATCTGACAGAGCTGTGGTTTTATGGTGTAAAGAAATCCTAGAAAACCAAGATAATGAGAATATAATCAGAAACCTATCAAAAACCATCATACACACGTTTATGGAGAACTTTAAATTACTGAAGGCCATGTTGTTCTGTGACTGGATTCATAGAAATAATGCAAGTTATGAACTAACATGTTGGACATTGAATCTGTTAGCAAGTTATCTTGTAAAGACTTACTCAATTAATTCTCTTGGACTGAAAAGTCTGGTACAGTTTGATGATTTAACAAACATTTCATGTTCAGAGCTAATTATCAGAATTCATGGCTTTAGAAAAGATTTTCTTAAATGTGCCAAAATTGCGGAGTCTGTTGGTGATTTCAGGTGTGGCATACTTTTTAAAATTTTGCAGAAGCTTAATATTGATGATAGTATTGATATTTTTGAGAGCGTCACTAAGCTCTTTGATCTGAGCAAATCCCCTAAAAATGAGAATGTTCAAGAGTTAGTAGATCTCAATGAACTGGCAAAACTGATGAAAACTGACTTCACAGAAAAAATGCTTCACATACTGACTTCATCAATGACAGAAATATTACAGAATCTGAAAATAGATCTTGATTCTGAAACAGTTTGGGCAAGGTTGGATCTAAGCCTAACTTGTAATACAAACCCATTGATAGAGCAAGACCGTTCAAGAATTTATGCCATATTTTCATGGATTAAGATTCTACTCCCATTAGGCATCAGCTCACCTTCGAAAGAAAATCTAAACTTAATGATTAAAAATATTACCTTAATGGTCAATAAATACAATGCAATGTGTGCCTTTGAAGAAGTTGTTGCAAGTTTTTATGATAATGAGAAAAAGGTAACAGAAAAGGCTGAGAAGGTTCTGTGTTTGGGTTTTCACCTTGTCCACTGGAAAATAGGAGAAACTCAACTTGTCAAAAAAGTAATGCTGAATGCACTGAAAGAAGTAAAGCCAGAAAAACAAGGTGCTTATACAAGTCAGATGGAAGGGCTAACAAAAATAGGTGACTTTACCGTTTCTTGTGACAATCAGATGGTAGTTCGAAATAAACAAATTTTAAAATACAGATTGATGAAAGAAGAACATTTTGTACAGTTTTGTCTCCTTTCTAAACCTAAAACTCTGTCAAAGAAGGCTTTATTTGATTTATGTCCCAAAACTATTATGAACAACACAGAATCCGATGAAAGATTTTACATTAAAGGTAAAAACATGACTGGGGAGAAAAAAGGCCTTCTTCGTAACCTTGAAGCCATGAATGACAGCAGTTACCATAAAATATTTTTAGATAAACTTCCACTTTGGAATTTAATTCTAAGCAATGGCTCTCACAATACTGAACAGTCTAGGTCTTTATCTGAATACCAGAAAATTATGTACATTGCTCACCTCTGGTGCTCCAATTCAACTTCAGAAAATACAGTAAAGTTCCATTTGAATCTTCCACTATCCTTCTTTCAAGCGCTAGTTCCAGCAGATTTAGATCAGAAGGAAAATGAAGTTATCAAAGCAGGACAAGCCAAAGCTCAATTAATCCCTGTAAGAGGAGAAACCCATACTACAGTTTCTCCTAAAAAATTAGAAATTGATAAAAACCTTCAGGAGAATGAAACAGATCATGCAGATATCCATCCTATTGAAGATGAAGATGTTAAATTGGCAGATAATATTGAAATGAAAGACCAAACGGAGATTGATCCTTCTCTTAAATTAACTCCAAATGCAAATAATAAAAAATCTTCATCAGATTTAACAAAATCCTTATGCTCCCTGACCAAGAGTAGTATCAAAGTTTCTTCATTGAAGGTATCAGCTAAACATGATAAATATCCATCAAAAGTCAGCATTAACAACCAACAAAATGTTGTTGAATCATCAAACTATTCCGAAAATGCAACTGAAGTTGAGGATTTAAACACTTTGAATCAGGAACTTGAATCCTTAAATGCAGTCACCATTCCTACCTTGATCTTTGATAAAGATTTGGCAACTTCAGTCAGCATATCTGAGGATAATAACCCAATATCATCATTCATAGAAAGTAAATTGTTGTCAAACAAATCAAAATTCGAGTCAATTCCTGAAACATCAAAGCCTAAGGAGCCAAATTGCAAGTTGACTCTTTTGAAATTAAATAAACCAGAGGTCACTATAACCAGAGTCCAGCCCAAGCTTCTTTTACTAAAGAAAGACCAACCTAGGAAAAACAGCAGTAACATGACACTTAAAAAACTGCAGCTTCCAAATCAAACCAAATCTATTCAAAATAGAAAATCTATTAAGCTGACCCTTGATCAGAAACTATCTAAATCTTGTGCTGGTATCTCAAAGCTTAAAAGTGATGTTGAAATCTTACTGCAGAAAGCAGAACAAGATAAATTGGTGGAGAAAAAACGAGAGACGGATAAAATTAAAGCAGAAAAATTAAAAAATCTGGAGACCTTCGATATTTCGTTGTCTTTATTTCGTAGGCAAATGGGAACCAAGTATAATAAGTTTGAATCTCATCTTCAATCTGCATTAAAAGATTTTGACTTCAATCCTCCTGTATCAAATCCACAAATAATGTTAAAATCAAAAAATTCAAATTGTGAACATACAAGCCAAGATCTTTACGATCAAACAGGTTCCGGCTCAATACACACTGTCATACTGGACAAGCAAGCAATTTATACAGATATTGATCGAGAGGTTCCTCAGGAAGAGACAAAGGATAATAAGATAGGTTCTGCTCAAGACAAAATCGAAGAAGCTAATGTTGCAGATCCAGACAATGCTCAGGAAGAACTAGCTGTTGTCAAGGAGTTCAATGCCCCTCATCAAGACATATCTATTAAACATGTTGATAATCCTCAGATGATTTTTCCAGTTCATGACTTAGCTTATGATTTAGAGGAGTTAAAAATATCAAGAGTTTCACAGGAAGCATTTGAAAATAATGAGATTCCTGCTGCACAGGAATCTGAAGAAAAGGTAGATGAAACTCTTGCAGATGAAACAAAAATAATAGGTAATCCTCAAGAAATGCTAGAAGATTCTAAAATCAATATTGATCCTGTTCCAGACAAATATCAAGAACTGGCAGAAGACTTTAAGATTAATAGTGATCCTGATTTAGTTCCACCTCAAGAACTGGTAGAAGATTCTAACATTCCAGGTATACCTGAAGAGCTGGCAGAAGATACTAACATTGATAGTGATCCTGTTCTTGAAACACCTCAAGAACTGGTAGAAGATTTTAAGATTTGTAGTATTGTTCTTCCAGACTCCTCAAATAAAATAATAGATGACATCAGGACTGGGAATGACAAAGATACCACAATAAGGGGTTTCAGAGAAAATTCTGATTCAAGTCCAGAGTTCAAAAAAACAGAGGAAACAAAAAATGAAGAAGTTATCACTTCCTGTCCTCTGGACATAAATAAGATCTCAGATGATACATCTAAAGATTTTCTGAAAATTTTTCCAGAAAAGGGGAACCTTAATAAAAAGTTTGTGGAAGAGATGATAAATGAAAATGAAGACCAAAACAATTCTGTTGTTTATGAAGGGGGTAATCATTTATTTCTGAATGATCTTGCTGAAAATCAAGGACCAGAGATGTTTAAGGAAATTCTTCTAAACAAAAACATGTCCCTGTTGGATAGATTAGGTAAAATTTAATTTTTATAATTTCAATAATGACTAATTGGTAGTTTGTATTTTTTTCAGATATTCTTGAGGAATTAAATAATGATGTTGATACTGAAATTAAACATACTAGAAGATATTTGGATATTGCATCAACAACATTTTCCTAAACCATATGATTAATTAATATGAATAAAATTTTGGTGCTATACCATTTTCAAGATAATCTTTTAATAACTAAAATACATACAAGAAGACTTATGGAGATAGCACATATCACTAAATAAAGAGTAAGATTATATTGCAGAAATATTTTTACATAATTGTTACAATTTAAAATTAAAGGAATATTAAAACCTGATAAATAAAGAGTAAGATTACATTGCAGAAATATTTTTACATAATTGTTACAATCTAAAATTAAAGGAATATTAAAACCTGATAAATAAAGAGTAAAATTACATTGCAGAAATATTTTTACATAATTGTTACAATTTAAAATTAAAGGAATATTAAAACCTGATAAATAAGGAGTAAAATTACACTGCAAAAATATTTTTACATAATTGTTACAATTTGAAATTGAAGAAATGTTAAAACCTGATAAATAAAGAGTAAAATCATATTGCAAAAATATTTTTTACATAATTGTTACAATTTAAAATTGAAGAAGTATTTAAACCTGAACTGACATGAATAAGTCTACAGAGTACAGGAAAAATTGTATTTACAGCGTAAAAAACAGATAATATTTGATACTTTATAGGGTTTCCACGAAACAGTTAATTCTCTTGCACAACAATTGCGTGGTTTTGCACGAAATGACTTTTTTGCACGAAATTCCGCATCATTTTCATATCAATACAAAACCAGTTTTGCATGAAATTGCGCATTCATTTGAAATAAATAAATTTTTCTTGCACGAAATTTCGCATGAATACAAAATTAAGTCAGAATTTTTTCATGATATTTGCAAGAATACAGGTCATTTTTGCATGTAATTTTGTAATGTAACCTGTAGCCCCACTTCCTGTCTGAACTCTTCTCGTACTTAACTCACTTTCCAGTAGGGTTTCCATTCGCAAAACTTTTGCACAATTTTTGCGGAACAAAACGCAAAATTTTTCTTTCTTTGCGCATCAGTTTTGCGCGAAAAAACAACAATTTGCACAATCATTCGCAAAAGTCATTTCGCGCAAAATTGCCCTATTCTGCTTTTGCGAAACTCAAGTTTTGTNGTTCAAATCTCACAATTTTCTCGACAATTTTAGTTTTGGACATGCATATTTCCTAAAAGTGGATTCTTCAGGCATTGGTTACTTTCTTGCATTATTTTATATGAGATTAAAAAGATTTCAGAAATTTGATTAAACAAATTTAAGAATATAATTCATACTTGATTAGGCAAAGCTTTTAAGGGTCGCTTGAAATTATTTAATAGGATTAAAAGTTTCACACTCTAATTTCTATTTTATTAATTATTTAAACTAATTTTGTAACTGGAAGTAACCAATTGAGTGTAGTATAATCGTTATCATACTCACATGTTAATATTTTTTTATGTATGGGATAATCGACTTCAGTTGTTTAATTCTAAGCTTAGAATATCAACTTTTGACAATTTGCCTAAAAGTTACATTTTGCGTAAAACTTGCGGTTTTGCGCAAAACTAAAATTTCGTCACATGCGCAACTTTCGCAAAAAATATTTCCGGTTTTCCGCAAATTGCGCAAAAAAATTGCGCAAAACTGCGCTTAAAACTCATTGCGTTTCATGCGCAAAAATAGCGCAAAAGTTCGCAAAAAAATATTTGCGCGAAAATAGCGCAAATTTTGCGAAAAAAAATTTAGCAATTTCGTGGAAACCCTACTTTCCAGTAAGTAGTCTCCTGCTAATGTCTCCCTTGCTACTCCGTTAAACCATGGTTCTCACTTTACTCTTCTTCCTGAACAACTTCGGAGTCTCTAGCATTTAGATAGGGTTCATAGAGATCCCAACGCTGCCACCAGTATTATAACCAATATTTGCCAGTATCTCCGAATAAACTTTAAGTACACGAAGTTTACGAATAATTCTATCTGCTCAACCCGTCCTTACTAATACAAGGGTTTACATCGAACTAACATTTATATTCTAAAGATACTAGATTGCTCGGTCCGACGTCCCAGTAAACATAGTTGGGAACTTTTTTCCATGGAACCATCTGAGGACCTATTCCCCAGAATTTCCCTGATATTTCTTTTATTCTCCAATTGGGGAGACATTTGGGGAAATTCAGGAGATAAGTTGGAGTAAAAAAGAACGAAGAAAAATGTTCGAAGAAAACTTTTATAAGAAGTTTGAGTAAAATTCTCCAAATATTTTCTCCGAGTGAATCTAGAGAAAATATTAAGAAAGAAAGGAGAAAAAAACGTCGAAAAAAACAGAAGAAAAAATAACGAGAAAAGGCAGTGGAATTTTGGGGTTTAAATTATCGTACATTTTATGCCTAGTAAATTTGGGGAAACACTGGAGTTTATTCTCCAATTGGGGAGGCATTTGGGGAAATTCAGGAGAGTAAATGGAGGAATTGACAAAGTATGGAACCACCTGGGGGAGTTGGTTCCAAAAAGTGTCCACCGATTTCCGTGAATAGGTCGTTCAAAAGTTCCGAAAATTTCTCGAGAAAGTGAAAAAATTCTCTAGAATTTCTCTTGAATTTCCCCAAAATTGTTTACTGGGGTAGCTGTCAGCGCATTCAATTCAAAACATATTTGCAAGGTTAGGGTTTAATGAGAGAGAGATATTTATTTTAATTAAATATCTATTAATAAGTAAAAAAATTGGTCTTTTTAAAACATATTTACATTTCAGTCCACAGACTTTATTATCATTATTAGAAAAATCAGTTTTTTATTATCTTAATATAATAATATCATTGTTTTTATCAACGATAATGAGACAGTGGGGTAACTGGGCCGTAGCTGATATCCTAGAATTTGGAATCTTTATTTTAACACAAAATCATTTCATAATTAACTTATTTTTTCTTAGACTTATACTTTTAGCAGGCCATAAAAAGAATATTTTTATGGCCTACAGCCAAATCTAATAATTAGATCGTTTTATTTTAAGAGTTTTAGGTCGTCATTTAAGTCTCATTCTTTGTGGGTAACAAAGGAATACTCATGTTTGGCTGGAAGAGCCGGAAGGGTAATGTTATCGTCTATACGCAACATCCCCCCTACTTAACTTCTGACCTAATAACTTTCCGACCTACTGCAATATCGGACCTACGCCCGCTGTTTATTTTAGTATTATTTGAGGGTTAGGTTAGGTTAAGACAATTTCTGGGCCGAGCGCTGCGGCTAGGACAGGCTAGGGGCCGAGTGCCGCGGCTAGGACAGGCTAGGGGGCCGGGCGCTGCGGCCACAAGTCCATATAGCAGCTATAAAACCATGTGCTAGTAGGTCGGATGTGTAGTATAGCGGATTTGGCGTAGGTCAGAAGTGGAGTAAGGCGGATTTGTGTAGGTCGAAAAATACACCACCAGGCGAGGAAGTCACAGCTAAAGCATAGCTAGAAAATGTCTAACGAATCGGACAACTGTCTTTGGGATTAATTTAAATTTATAACAAAGACGACAATACGCGTCCAAAAATTTGTCGCGGCAATCTCGCATAATCTATATTTTATCGAAACTAGAAACATTATTATCGCAGGCTCGCAGCTTTTTTATATCATTTAAAGCCTAGAATTAATTTTATGTTACATCTATAACAATAACTAGTATAAAGAATAAGTAACTGCTTTAACAAAAAACTTAAGTTAATTAATATTTTTGGAAAATTTTATTCAAAGAAGACATTTACATTTCTCTGTGTTTATAGCTGGTAAATTCCAGATGATTCATTGGATACAAGGCCTACATCAGCTACATTGCTAATGCTAAATGCTAATTAGTGTAAACAAAACCAAACACCGCAAAGGTATCAGCTGATGAAATAATTTAAGATGAGACTTTTGGTTTGGTTTTAAAGTTAAAACCTATTATCGTTTCTAGTTAAGCTAGATTTTTTAAATACATGTTTCTTCATGTTTGTTTAAATGATTTGTAAGATTAAATCTTAGCAATCCTACCCGACCACGTATACAGTAATTAAACAATAGTTAGTAGACGCTGCTAGCGAGCATGCGCTCTTAACAAACACTTGTCTTAGAACTTTTAATGAATCCACAGTTAGAGGAACAGAATCAGATCTCAAACAACTTTGATATTTCAGATTATGTTTTTGTACACGATTCTTTGCCTGCTAGGGTTGTGTATGGGGGTTCCAAGTGGGGATAGGGCTCCCAAAGATATGTTGGAAGAGTTTAAAAGTAAAGTGAAGGGATGTAAAACATTTCCGGTTGAGAAGTTATTGAAGAATCCTAAGTTTGTGACCGAATGCAAGGATAAGCTTACTCCAGACCTTCAGAATATTAGTTCAATGCAGGTTTGTGTAGAATATTAATGTTTGTTATTTATGAAACCTTTCATTGCATTTTTTGGTGAATGAAAAAATAATATTAAATAGATTATTTTATAATGGTCATTTGTGGGAACTTAGATTCGATCCAATGGAATTTATCAAAGATAAAATTATTGTTTTTCTGTATTTTGATTTCTATCTAGTGACCTTCGATTTAGAGAGATTCCTGTTCATTCACAACGGTGCCGTTTAAACCTTTATCTTATCAAGAATTAATGAGAATTTTTATAGCTAAAAAATTGATAGTTGATAGATCATGGATCGTATTCGTGTGGTTCCCTATTTTCATAAACAAGTTGAGGATCCTGCCCTTTGATTTGGCATCGACGGTTACGAGATATGATTGTATCCGTGTGTTGACATTGATAGCCAAGAGAATCTGAGTTGTACCTGGATAGATACGTGTTCGGCCCCCTAGTATGTCCAAGCTGCAGCGCTCGGCTCCCTAGCCTGTCCTAGCTACAGCGCTCTGCCCAAATGTCTTGGGGGGGAGGAGGGTTTAAAAATCGTACAATAGGACAGAACCCAAACACATTTCAAGATAAAAAACAAGGACATCTTTCATTATATTAATCAGACAAATGTAGTTGTAAAGTTGTGAATCACCCAAAATCAAAAATACCTTCTCATGTTTTAGGAATTTGTAAGTTCAGAAATTCTTCTTGATCCGAATCCTCTTCTCTGCTACGCAGTATTCGAGAGTATTGGAGCTCTGTGTTCTCAGGATACACCTGGAGAACCTGTTCAAGTCCAAGAGGAGACTCCGAAGTCATTCTGTAAAGATCAGGGGTGAGAGGATATATTTTTTTTGAGCTTTATCTAGATTTTCAGGCGGTTTAACGATTTTTAAGAAGTTTCTAGATTTTCTGTTTGAATTCAATATTTTTAAGATACTAGATTTTTATGATGGTTTTATTATTTATAATATAGTTTCTAAATTTATATGGTGGTTAATAAAGTAGGTTGGTATAAAATGGTCATGGTAGGTTTCTAGATTTTAAAGATTTAAAGATTTTTACCGTAGTTTCTAGATTTTTAGGGTTAGCTTAAAGATTTATATGATAGTTTCTAGATTTTGATGGTGGTTTTTTATTATTTCCAATATAGTTACTAGATTTTTATAGTGGTTTTAAGATTTGTGGGTTGGTTTTAAGACTTTCATTGTAGTTTCTAGATTTTCAGGTTGGTTTATTTGTAAAAAAAAATTTCAGAAGAGTTTGGCCATTTTCAGGATGGTTAAAATATTTGTAAAGTGGTTTATTTTTGTTTTGATTTTTAGAAAATTTTAATTTATGGTTTTAATAATTTACAGCAAATTTTTCTGTTTTCATGTTGTTCAATCTGATAGATTTAGGGTAGTTAACCGACCTACTGTTGGCAGAGGAGTGGGGGNGGGGGTAGCTTTGATAAATTATTGATATTTTTTATGTTTAGAAACATCAAGTTTCCAGAGAAATGTAATGAAGAAAACTGTGAAGTAAGCATTTATATAATCTTTATCGAATTAGGACATGTCCGATTCACATAGCTACCCTTTAAACCTGTATCTGATTGATAATGTGGAAGATATCGTCGCTTTCTAGATTAAAAAGTGTTTCATTTATTTTTTCTGGAAGCAGAATTCCACAAGTCACTTTTATAGAGAAATCACAAATGAAAATACTTGATTATTAAAAGGAAATTGATAGCCCATTGATTATTGATTAAGACAAAGCTTGTAAATGAATCAGTGTAAATCGGACATGCCGTGACCCATTTTGCAGTCTGATTTCCCACAAAAACCTTATTAAGTCTAATATTGTTCTCTCTGATGTCATTTATCACAGGAATTTTTTTATCTAGGTCTATGAGAAATGGTCGTGCAAGGTCCGTGCAGATCGCAAAAATAATCAATTTTTTACTAAAATTAGACTTGACTTGAAAACAAACTTTTGTTAAATATTGTTTTCTATTCAAGAATCAACAAACATTGATCAATTTTTATAAAAAATCTGACGTTTTCAAATAAGACTTGATTTAAAAAGCCTATTGTAAATATTAAAATATTTTCTCAAGATTGTTTATATTTTTTCAAGGTTCTTCTAAACAAGCATTATAGAAAGATAAGAGTTTAATTTAAAAACACTTTCTTTTTTTGATGAAAATTAATGAAATCCTGGTCCAAAATTCATTAATTTTGATCTTTTAAAAAGTAGAAGATTAAAACATAAATTATTTACAACCTTGTTAGATTTAGTTTTTTATTAATTAACGCCTAGTAGGAGATCTTGAAGATCCCTTTCTGAACGAGCTGAACCTATGTATTTTTTAATGAACTTGACTCCACGCTCGGCACGATCGTTAACAACATCAATCTTGTCAATACAGTCTTTGAACAACTGAAACTCTTTTAATCTTTCCCAATTCTGAACATTAGATCTTAGCCATCTGTGGCTTTCTTCCTCTTCTTCACCCCATATACCAAGATCAAAAAAAAATTTCTATGATAAATGACATCATAGAAAACAATATTAGACTGTTAGGTATAAGTGGTGCAATATTTCTATATTTTCCTGTAAAATGGGTCACCCTACATGCCGCACCATATAAATAATTTTAAATTACATGACTAATTTAAATATTAATTAGGACTTTTATATAGGAAATAATTTTAAAGAAGATGTAAAATTAAAAAATATAAATTTAAAGTAAGTTTTGGTTGCATTATAAACTCGTCTGCTAAAAATTTGCATAACGAAGTATATAATCATGACTGATGCACTATCAACAAATCACGAAATTTTTTTTTAAAGTTTCTACAAAATGAATTAATTTACTCCAGCGGTCTCATTTAGCACCTGCTGCTGTGAAATATTCTTAAATTTTTGTCAGGATGTTTTTCTTTCAGATGCTAAGATTATTAGCTGAGCAGGTTCTCTTGAATCCAACTCAGTGTGGAGAAACTTGTGTTAAAGCTAACCTTGTATTCCCTGCCTGTCAGTATCTTAGTATATCTCTAGCTACTTTATTCCCAGGTATATTTCAACCAAAACTAATAAGTTTAATATTTTTTATCGTCAGGGGTTTATATTTTCTCTACGGATAACAATCCACCCCCCCCTTCTTTATAACTCTTATTTCCTCATGATGTTAGGAATTGGTTTAATATTTAAAAGAGGTTTACTTGTAATGTCTATTTTTCCCGTGGTGTCGGGTTTGTGTTTTTTATAGGGTTTTATTCCCTGAATTGAGTAAAATCTCTACATGGTGTTAAGGGACAAATTATTACATTTTTGGGTATATCATCTAAAGGGTGAAAAAATTGACAATTGATGTCCGATTTTCATCTTTTTTCCCTAAAGGGGAGGGTTAGTTTGACCAATATGGTTAAATTTGGGATTCCTGTCTTCATTTTTTGAGGAATCTGAATTAAATTTTTGCATATGGGCATCATTTGTGTTTATTGTAAGTAATAAATTTTTTTTTGTAAACCTATTTTTTTCACCTTTTCCCCCCTATTTCCATGTGTTTTTTTTTCAGCTTTTTCACCAAAAAGTCTGATTCAAATACCAGCTAAGTGGTTAGGGAGAAGTTCCGGTAAATGGTGGAAAGAAAAGAGAAATAAAAAATATAGCTTGATTGATTAATTGAGTGATTGAATTATTGAGGGATTGCTTGACTGATTAAATATCCCCCCCTTTTATTTTGTTTTACAAACATAAAGTCCAATTAAGGCAGGTGTGCAAAAGATTTTTTTAATTTCGAGGAAAACTGAATTCATGAAATAGAAAATGTGAAAACTACTAACATTGTAGAAAAATATGATAAAATAGGGGGAAAATAAGGGGGAAAGTGATCTGAAAAACCTTAAACTTCGTCCTGATGTTAGTAATGAAATTCTTGACTAACAAGTAGGTGTTTAAAACACCTAGCTGGTATTTGAATTAGACTTTTTGGTGAAAAAAGCTTAAAACATGGAAAAAGAGAGAAAAAGGGGGGAAAATATTTTTTTACAAATGTGTTTTTTTTACTTAAAATAAACAGAAATGATGCCCATATGCAAAATTTAAATCAGATTCCTCAAAAAATGAAGACAGGACAGGAATCCCAAATTTAACCAAATTGGTCAAACTAACCCTCCTCTTTTATATACATAACATTCTTGAAAACATATCTTCTTGACTTTTGTCCCAAAACTTTTTAAAATCATCCCACCCCACCCCACACTTATTCGACAAAATTTATACACCTTGAGTTGGGAAGCTTTGAATGAGAAATTATATAGTTGAACTAGGCACGAATGGTTGAACTTTCTTTCCTTGTCAACCTAGTATTTTTAACTGTTAGTTTAACAAGATGCACCCAGTGCTTAGGATCCATTTATTTGAATGAAAAAATGGATCTGGATCGAGGTCATGAGCATTTCTTCCAAGATTTACTGATTTTTTGAACAAAAGAATTTTCAAATTATTTTCTTCTTTTTTCACTTGTTTTTGATTTTTTTTTTCATCAGATTTTTGGTTTGAAAGCAAAACGTTTGTTTACAGGATTTGATTGATCCGGATCCAGGAAGCCAAAATGTTGAGGATCCAAAGAATCTGGATCCGGATTCTAAGCACTGGGTGCACATAGTTTAACTATCTCCTTTGCGTCATAAATTCTCAACTCTGATGTCGGAACTAATGAATCCCGAAAACAAAACATTTATATTCAATCTCAGCTCTAATGTAATGGATTAAAAATTTTACTTTTATTTAATCCAGGTTCAGTAGTTGCTGGTGGAGCTAAGATTAAAACGGAGAAGATAAATAATAAATTTGTTGGGTCCGGAGAAGAGATAAAACCTGACCTGGAAAACAATAACAGTCCTAAACTAGATCAGAACAAGAAGGATGGAAATACGGAGTCAGAATGGGAAAAAGGTAAGTGTTAGCGACTGTTAACGTAATTTGAAATGACAATGTGACATCAGCGATTCCCAACTGTACATATTGAAACCTTTTTTTTGTAGCAATGATGAAAATTAGATTGATTATCTGTAAAAAACATATTGTGAGTTTCTCTGCAAAAGTGACTTGCGCATTTCTTGTTCATAAGAGACAATGGAGAAATCTTAAAGGGACTGTACAAGAAAAATGAAAGGGGATATAGGATGAAACCTGAGAATCTCAGGAGTTGAACGATAAATAAAATATGTTCCTGTCTCGAGAAATTGGCATACAACTGTGTTAAAATTATACCAAAACGTATAATTGTAAGATAAGTGTCCGTATCACGTGACCCGAACTTCCTCCAATGGCAGTGCAGTATATTGGTCACGTGATACAGACGGAGACATGTGACAATAATACTGCACTGCCACTGGTTGGAATTCTGATGACATGATCTGGACGTAAAAATAATATTATCAATTATATCTATTAAAAATGAAAAATTATTAAATTCAAATAATAATAAGAGTAAACCTGAGTTTCTCAGGCTCCTCTGTGATATCTAAAGATTGGTTGCGTATTTGTTGAATATGATCTGTTTAATACTACGGAATCTTAAACAAAATCCTACATGCGTTTTGGTATAATTTTGACACAGTTTTATATCAATTTCTCGAGACAGGAACATCAGATAGAACTCTTATAGGTCTCAATCAACTCCGGAGATTCTCAGGTTTCAGCCTATACCCCCTTGCATTTTTACTTTACAATTCCTTTAAATTCAGATAAAGAATGAGTTCTTGTCCTATTGCTGCCGTTATGAATGGTTAATGGCACACTTTTAGTTAACAAAATTCTAAAAATTGCTTTTAATTCTTGAACAAATTTGGATAATATTTATTGGACTAGCTATTTCTCTGACAAAAAAAGTTTCGGGGATAATGTATGATTTTTATTTACTTTTGTTTTTCATTTGTTCCTTTGTAAACTAAATACGTAAATGTGCCTAATACCTTAATAGTTCTAATTATTTCTGTGATTTGGTTAATCAAGCGAAAACATTCATTGCTAGTCGCGTGACGTGAGACGTCATTTAGTGTTTAATTAGCAGATGTGTTTCAGGTCTTTCAAACTCTAATGCTGCCACAACTATGACTTCGGAAAAAACTTCCAAAGTTCAGGACGAAAATTCGTCCAAATTGGCCGCGAAAACTTCTCCCTTAGCCGCCGAAACTTCTCCCTTGGCCGCCGAAACTTCTCCGTCAGTGGAGGAAACAGATCTTACTGAAACCGAAGATCACCAACAAGAAATGGAAGATCAAGAGGAGGGAAAGGAAGACCAGGAGGAAGGAATGGTAGAACAAGAGGAAGGAATGGTAGATCAAGAGGAAGGAATGGTAGATCAAGAATTGGATGAGGAAGGAATAAAAGCTGAGGAAGAGAAGGGATCGGATCCCCATGAAGAAGGGATTGAAACTGTAGAGGATGCACTGGATGCCCGTGAGGAAGAGATGGAGACTGGAGGGGACGCGAGATTGGAAGGAACAGGAGGAAACATGAATCCAGGTTGAATAAAATCTTATTTTAAAGGGTCCTTTCATTTAAAAATTTACTTGCCCCATTCTTAAACCTAACTTCCTAATCTCGGTCTGAGCAAAAATGATGAAAATACCTTATTTTTGAAAATTTATATCTTCAATATTCGGTCGCTCTGTAATAGTGACTTGCAATTTTATGCAGCAGAAAGAAAATAAAGGTTTTAAGGTATCCTTGTGTGTGTAGGGCATATAACTCGTTTGAATGGCTATTGGAAATTAAGCCTTCATTCTCTTAAAGGTCCTAAATGTTAAAAATCTTGTTTTTAGGAAGGAAAGGGGAAGATACAATGAATGTTGGAGTATTCTCTGAAAACAAATCAAACTTTATGGTTTACTTCTTCCTCCTCTCCATAGTATCAATCATGGCATATCTGGTGTTTCATAATAAACAGAAGGTTGGTTGGTTGGATTATTGGTTGGCTGGTTGGTTCTTGCTTGGTTTGTTCACAAGTAATTGCTAAATGCTTGCTTGCTTGATTAATTGATTGATTGGTGGATTGATTGCTTTGTTGGCAGGTTAACTGGTTATTTTATTGATTGATTGGTTGAATATTTTTTTTCTTTGGTGACATGATATTGATTGATTGGTTGACTATTTGTTTTTTTGGGGTTACCTGATTGGTCGCTGATGGGTTGGTTGTGGGTTTTGGATAGTCTGATTGTAGTATCATTTCATAGCTTTATTGAAATTTAGCTCTTTATTGAATCAATAATTTATTTATCTATTTCGATTTGTTCAAACAATTTGTTAAATGAAGTCAAAACTTTTGTTTGGGAATCTTGTGATCCGGCATTGATTTTCATCCTATGCAGATCTACGGATAAATTTAATTCTTTTTCGATATCCCGTGATTGTTATACCCTGTTGGGACAACTTGAATTGAGAAATCAAGCATTGATCTTCAAGTTCAAAAGAACACTGGATATTGAGGTCAAACGTTCAAGATTGAAAATCCACACACAAGTTCTGATCTCTGAATATTGACTGATTGGTTGATTGATTGATTGATTGATTGATTGATTGATTGATTGATTGATTGATTGATTGATTGATTGATTGATTGATTGATGCTTTCATCCATTCATTCATTCATCCTTTCATCCTTCCTTCCTTTTATTCTTCCTTCCTTTCATTCATTTATTCATTGATTGATTGTTTAGATCCTAGCTTTGATACTGGAGGGTAGAAGGCAGCGAGGTTCCCGGCGAAGATCTGAAGGAAGGGAATACAGGAAACTAGATTCATCTGTAGAGGTAACCAACCGATTTTAGTCAAGTATTAGGAACTGTATACCTAGATTTTTCGGATAAATCATGATTTTTTTTAATTTATCTGAAATTTTAAGCATTTCTCTATATTTCTACTAATTTCTACTAATTTTACTGCATTTTTCCTATATACGGAATTTATTTGGAATTGAAAATCAAGTATCTTGTATTTATAGTCTTTTTTAAATTATTCATTGTATTTATCTAAACATTTATGGCATTATCTGAAATGTAACGGCGTTCGTCTGAAGTCTAACAGCATTTGTCAGAAATTTGACGCTGAAATTTTTTATATTTGTTTGTTTTCAACGAAATGTCTACACAAGGATATCAATCATAACTTTCAGATGGTTTAAACAAAATAACACGTATGATACATTTATTTAAAAAAATTGGTGACAGTATTATTGCGTTTCAATCGGACAAGTGGAACTGACAGAAAATGTCTTGCTCATTAATAAATGTTTCCTAACATCACTTACATCCATGAGTATTTCCGTAAGTCTTCAAGAAATTTAGAAAGTTTCGAAAACACGGTATATACGTTGCTTTTTATTATTATTATTTCAAGGATAATTACTTATTTCTTCCAACGATTTCAGGAGAGTATGGATTTGAATCGAGACTCTTCTCAGCGTCAAGTTATATATTAGACCCAGGAACCACCTAGGATCCGGAGACAATGGTTCCTCTGGTGCCTGGAACCACCTAGAATCCGGAGTCTGGTTCCTCTGGTGCCTGGAACCACCTGGGATCCCTCTTGTACCAGGACGCATCTTAGAAGAAGAAGAGGATCGTCCTCCTTAGATACCAGGGTTCTATTCCACCAGGACTGATAATAGAACTTCATGGACTCTTAGTAAACTCTTTAAAGAATCGTAATTCAGTACCCGGAGAAACGAGAATGATCTCAGTCTCAGTTGGACCCCACAGGCTGTCCTGTACTCAATCAGGACCCTGAAAAGTTCTGTCTTGTACTTGATTAGAACCCTGAAAACTTTTTTTACTCTATCAGAACCCTGAGAAGTTTTTCTTCTACTCTCATCAGAACCCTGAGAAGTTCTGTCCTGTACTCTATCAAGACCCTGAGAAGGTCTCGAAAACAATTGTGATATTTCTTGTTTGCAGTGTGCAGTGTGATTCAACCCCTAGTCAGAAGAATGTGAATATTCATTCAGAATTATTAGATATGCAGTAAAACATAGACCAGATTCAGAATTATTAGATATGCAGTAAAACATAGACCAGATACAGAATTATTAGATAATTTAGGGACTTTCGATGTAATTGACCCTTCATTTCAAAAGAGCCTTGTCTACACATAATTGGTCCATTTAAACCTTGATTTGATGAATAGTTTGGATGATATTGTCGTTTTCTAGGTTCATAAGTGTTTAATTTTGTAAATTTTCTACATTGTTTCTGCAACAAAAATCCGAAATTCACTATTACAGAGAAAATTTTCGAAGATAACGCATGGATATTTCATTTATCCTCCATCAGTGGGTACCGTATTGAATCTGACATGACACTATAATGGAGGATCAATTGAAATTACGTGTTCACCCTCTAGTCAAACATAGAGGTGTGGCGGATATGAATATCGTCTTCCTGAATAATTCTAGAAATCCAAGGAGGAGTTTCTCGATCAGCTGATATATAAAACATGTGTTAATCATTCAATTATTTTTACTATATAAGTTAAGATTTTAAATAAAGTTAATCGTTGAGTAACTCTTTTCCTTTAAAGTTGTAGCACGCCAAAGAGGACACTTAAACTTATTGTTTTCTATAATATTTTTCTCCAGCTTATGAGATCATGTGTGAAGCGACTAATATTTAAAAAAAAAGTATTCCTCTTCAAAACTTTTAAACCTCTTATTAGCCTTTGATATCAATTATAAAGTTAAAATGTCATTTCTTCGTAAGGGAATAACGTAATAAACTCGAAATATTGGTTACCAAATCTTGAGCATGCTTTCTAATAACTATTTGACCCTTGTGCAATACAATTTTTAAGTTTAAATTTAAAAAATGTCATTCCTGGTGGACCAAAGTATAACTAAAGAAAATGCTATATGAAGAATCTTAAGGAAAAAACGATTGTTTAGATAAAAAATATGATTAAAGGAACCCCAACTCCTTTATAAATTAAAATAATTTTCCGTTTAAGAGGGAATGGTGTAAGAAGAAAAATATTAGAATCCGGATGAATAATGTAAAAATACATTTCTCTCAAAAAAAATTATTAGCAGCAGGGCTAAAACTAGGAGGGGGGGGGGGCAACTAGACACATGCCCCCCTTGTAGAATCTAATCTAAGATAAATAAGTAAATTTACTGTGTGAGAGGACTTTGCCACCACCCACTCTCACAAAAAAAACTTCCAGTTACGGCCCTGACTCAAAGATCCCAAAAATTAGGGTTACTCGGGTATTAAGTAAAATTTAACTTAACTATGCAGTTCAGTGATATTTGTTAAGCGGGCATAATTTTGAAATGTAAACCTGAACTTTATAATTAAAAGAAAAAATCCAATTTTAGGCCGAGTGAAAAAATTACCCCCCCCCCCCCATGTTTGTGCGGAAAGGAAATTTTGTAATTTTGAATTATAAAAAAATAAATCATTTTTTGGAAAAAATAAATAAATTTGTGTCAAAAGTTTCAAAATTGGTGAAAAAATTGTCTTTAAACGTTAATAGTTTATTTTTCTCCACACACAGCAGGGACATCATTTCCTCCGCAATTCTTGGGAGATATGAACGCCTGGCCTGGGAATAAAAACCAAACTTATTTATATCCTTTGGACTGTAGACGTAAACCCAAGTCAAGGAATTCCAATTATGCCCCTATTAACAACGGTACCCTTTAAAACATCATCTAAGTAACAATGAAAAAGAAATTTTCTGTTTTTAGCGTGGTTCTAACATTATTTTCCTTAATTGTCTTTGCTGAATTTATGCACAGGTCATTTTTAAAGTGAAACTCAATTTTAAAATAAACATTTCATAATAACAATAGTAACTCGGGCTTGCAACTATTTGGACAGAGACCGAATTTAAAGAATTTGAGCTGCGGCTCAAATATGTTTGGTTCCACTTAAAATCGTATTCAATGTTTCAAGATTTAAGCCGGCGCTCAATTGAAACCGGTTTTTGGGGGATATGAGACGCGGCTCTAATTTATTAAATTCGGACTCTGGTCACTTAAAATAACATTTACACTTATATTACCTTTGATTTTTAAATTTTCGTGAACCGGCAGCTCCTAGAAGTTGTTAAAATGTCCGAAATTTATCTAATTAGTTAAATATTGAATTAAATTTGTTAAGCTTTCTGAGTGTTTGAAATATTATTTATTATTCAATCGTGTGTTATGTTGCTTTTATTGAGTTTTGTGTATCATAATGTACCTTTAGAAACATATGTTCTTTTACTTACATTTTACATCACCAGTTTTTATTTAGTAAAAATTAAATATCCTTGATCAAAAATCCCTGAAAAGAACCGGTTGGGTCGAGCTACAAAGGGAAAGACTTATTTCCTTTGGATAACATCGAAGAAAATTATCAAAACCGAATTGAAAGAAGCTGCGGCTTAAATTTGAGACGCGGCTCAAATATGGTGGGTCCCACTTAAAATTGTATTTAATGTTTAAAGATTTAAGCCGGCGCTCAACTGAAACCGGTTTTTGGCGGATTTGAGACGCGGCTCAAATTCATTAAATTCGTAGTCTTGATATCTATTTTTTAAGGAATAAGGTCGGGCTAGTGACAGTAGATTAATTCCTAAATGAATTAGATTTTTTTTTTCAAAATTCAAGGCAAAACCCGTTTTTACATTCTTAGACGTTCTCGACCAAATCTAATGAAACTGAGAATTACTTAAAGAGAACCCTATCCCCCCTCCTTCCCGTTTAAGAGAGAAGATCAGTCACTTTTTTAAGGGGGGGTGGCAATTCTCACTAAATATTTAAATATACTTACATTTTAAAGTTTAATGTTATAATTCCTACCCAAATCCGTGCTCTTAAGTAAAATACAATTGGCCATCTAGAGTACGAATTGATAAATTTGAGCCGCTTCTCAAATCCGCCGAAAACCGGTTTCAATTGAGCACTGACTTAAATCTTGAAATAATGAGTTTAAGCCGCGGCTCAAATTCTTTAAATGCGGCCTCTGGAAAGTTTTTTGTTAAGAACAAACAAATAATTATCAGACTTGAGAATGTTTCCGACCTTACGCGTTTAAAATGTGAAACCAAACTTTGGCTAAAAACAAAAAACTCAATTTTTTCACCAAAGCTGTCTCGGGTGAAGTCAAAACTGTTCTATTAGCCATTTAACAATTAAAAAATGGGATGAAAATCGTCTTTTAACAAGTCATTTAAATTAGAAACGTCGCTAAGGAGTTTTTAGTTTGAAACTGTTAGATATACAGTGGTCATCGTATATATCAATACAATAAAGACGACTTTCGATTTCAATTTTGGATTTCTGCCAAACTTTCCATGGATACACATAATTATGGTCACAAAGAGAAGCTGTCAATTTTCAGCTTTTCTTTATTTAATTGAAATCTTGTAATTTCAAAAAAGATTGTTTGAAATCAAAACTTTAAGAGAAAAGTCGTCTTCATTGTGATATAAAAGCTGACCATTGTAGATAAATTCATTTCCGTTACAAATTACAAATTCTTCAGCTACATTTAGCTACATTTCTAATTGTAAGATTATTCAAAGAAGACTTCAGTCCACTATAAAACTGTGGAATAGGAAGGCGACTGTTAGAATCAAGTTTTGATTTTAAATAGACTAATGAACATTAAACACAGCAATTGTGCAGTGTAAACAGACCCATTTCAGTTAACATGTTGATTTTCTAGTTTTAGGTTGAACTACTTGCTTTATGCCAAATACACGCAAGATTGTTTTATTGCCGTCTTCCTTTTCCACAATCTTATGAGTTGTAGCTGTGCTGGATATAACTGTAAAGAAAGTACGAACATATTATTAGACATGAAGATGTTAATAGGAAAGGACGATGTAGCTGTGCTGGATATAACTGTAAAGTACGAACATATTATTAGACATGAAGATGTTAATAGGAAAGGACGATGTAGCTGTGCTGGATATAATTGTAAAGTACGAACATATTATTAAACATGAAGATGTTAATAGGAAAGGACGATGTAGCTGTGCTAGATATAACTGTAAAGTACGAACATATTATTAAACATGAAGATGTTAATAGGAAAGGACGGGAAATGAAGTGAAAAGAAAATATCTTCTTGAATAATATATTTGTGTCCTGAAGAAACATGAATAAAAAATGATTCTATGGAAAAACGGAAAACTTGGAACCAAGAGTTATTTCTCCAGGTAGTCACGAAACCTTGAATAGATACAGTGGTACCCGCTCATCGAACCTAGAGGAAACGAACCTAATGTTTTTCTGACCTAACGTTTTTCCGACCTAAAAATCTGTAGGTTCGATTAGCGAAATGTCCCAAACTGACCTAAAGATTGGAAATATATTTAGGTCGGTTATTAACATATTTTAGGTCAGTTGGGAATATATTTTAGGTTGGTAAGGCAACAATTTTAGGTTAAATAAGCATTCATTTTAGGTCGGTTGAGCAATATTTTTAGGTCGGATGAGAAATATTTTTAGGTCGGATGAGCAATATTTTTAGGTCGGTTGAGCAATATTTTTAGGTCGGTTAAGCAATATTTTTAGGTCGGATGAGCAATATTTTAAGGTCGGATGAGCAATATTTTTAGGTCGGATGAGAAATTTTTTAAGGTCGGTTGAGCAATATTTTTAGGTCGGATGAGCAATATTTTTAGGTCGGATGAGCAATATTTTTAGGTCGGATAAGCAATATTTTAAGGTCGGATGAATAATATTTTTAGGTCAGTTGAGAAATTTTTTTAGGTCGGTTGAGCAATATTTTTAGGTCGGTTGAGCAATATTTTTAGGTCGGATGAGCAATATTTTTAGGTCCGTTGAGCAATATTTTTAGGTCGGTTAAGCCATATTTTTAGGTTGGATGAGCAATATTTTTAGGTCGGATGAGCAATATTTCAAGGTCGGATGAGCAATATTTTTAGGTCAGTTGAGAAATTTTTTTAGGTCGGTTGAGCAATATTTTTAGGTCGGTTCAGCAATATTTTTAGGTCGGATTAGGTCATTTGAGCAATATTTTTAGGTCGGATAAGCAATATTTTAAGGTTGGATGAGCAATATTTTTAGGTCAGTTGAGAAATTTTTTTAGGTCGGTTGAGCAATATTATTAGGTCAGTTGAGCCATATTTTTAGGTCGGTTGAGCAGGAAAGACCTTTAGTTCAACAATTTTAATAAAATAGTGTATATTTAGGGTTAGGTTAGGTTAAGCTCATTTCTGGGCCGAGCGCTGCGGCTAGGACAGGCTAGGGGGCCGAGCGCTGCGGCCACATGTCTGGGCCAAGCGCTGCAGGCTAGCAAGGCTAGGGGCCGAGCGCTGCAGCTATAAGGACACACTAGGGGGCCGAGCGCCGCGGCTAGGACAGGTTATGGGGCCGGGGCTACCGCCACATGACCAATTTTATCCATGTTTTAAATATGAGATGCATGTACAGGCCCCAATGGGTGTTGAGCCCCCTCAAAAACCCCGTTTTACGCATTACTGAAACAGTAGTCGTACTGTTCACTTATGGCTTTGATTTATTGGTAAAACAACCTAAAAATATTGTTCA